TGAATAATTCTTACATTATTTTATTGTTTGTTAATTTTACAACTTACCATATTTTGCATGCACTGGCGAACATTTGGTGAAAATTTGATGAAAATCGGACTGATATTGAGCGCGCAGTAGCGATTTTCCGCAAAACGCCAAAAAGGGTGTCCTGTAACCTTAAGCAGTACAGGTTTTTAGCTGCTTTGCGAGTGGTCTCCTCGACATGTTTATTCCATTTCAGATCCTTTTGAAACCAGGTTCCCAAGAGTTTGAAATTATCGACTCTTTCTATGATAGCATCTCCTATATGCAGTGGTAGAGGGGGCGGTGCTTCGGTGAAGTTAATCCACATATCTTTTGTCTTTTTGGCATTCAGTTCCATCTTATTTTCCACAGCCCAACTTTGCACTGAGTCCAGAGCGCTTTGCAAATCGCCAGATTCTCCTGTTCTTATCGACGTATCCATGGTGCAATCGTCCGCATATTTGGTTGTACTGACACATGCCTGTTCAGAAACATTTTCCTCCATATCGTTAATATGAATGTTGAATAAGGTCGGCGAGATAGCAGATCCCTAAGGGACGCCGGCTGGGCATGATGCAGTAAAGGATAGTACACCTTGGAGATTTACCTGTCGTGTTCTTCCCTCCAGAAAACTCATTATCCATAACCAGAAACTCCTTATTACATTCATATCAGCAAGCTTGTCCAGAAGGATCTTGTGGTCGACCATGATCAAACGCCTTCCGGAAATCAACAAATAGGGCGTGGACACCTTGTCTACCGGTTGAGGAGTTGTCCGTTGAGTCGAACCAGTTCTGAGATATGATGGAGTGACCGCTCGTAAAAGCGTGCTGGTTTGTTTTGATCTTGAAACTGGATTTATTGAGTTGGAACTGTAGCTTCTCGATAACTTTTGCTAGTTGTGGTAGCACGGAAACTTGGCGGAAGTCACTATCTAGGTCTGTGGGTGGACGGATCTTTGGTGACGGATATTTGCATTGAACTATGCTTGCAACCACAATATCGTGGACCACTGGTGCTAATTCTTCTGCGTACCGTTTAAGATACCATGCAGGGATATTATCCGACCCAGTAGCTTTCCTAGGATTTATGTGTTTTAGGACGGTTTTGGCTTGGCCAATGGATGGTAGAGGTGGGTGGCTGTCCTTGAGCAAATGCTCTACCGCTTGAAGTCTGGGAGGATCTGGTTGAATATCTAGCCAAGGCTTAATAAAACTTCTTTGTAGTCTGTCAGCGATTTCCACTAAGTTAGCGTGGTCAGGCGAGGACAGAGATTGTTGATCTTCGGTTGCTGCCGCTAGCTTGTAAATCGTTTTATACCATTTGGCGGGATTGGATTGATGGCTGCCTTCAGCCTTGGATTTGTAGTACGTAGCTTTAGCGTTGGATATCAGCTTGGTGACTTTTGCATGTAAACTTTTATACTTCGGTGTCTCCCCTTTCGTAAATGCTCTCTGTCTTGCTTTTGTCAACGCTTTGATATTGGGGGTCATCCACGGTTTGTCCGTACAGTGTGCGCGAACTGTTCTCACGGGTATGGCTTCATCAAGCATACAGATGACGATAGAGTTAAAGACTGAGACCTTGTCATCCACATCCCATTCGGAATATACTTTCTCCCAGTTCTCAAGATTCATTTTCAGTCCCAGAACGTTTAAGTTCTCTGGTTTCATTTGTCGATATTTCTTTGAAACGGGGGACATCTTCTGTGTTGTTTTGGGTGGTAAGATCAAACATTGGTGATCGGAACGTCCGATAGGTGGAATGTGAAGAACTTCGTCTCGGTGTTCTGGGTGGTTTTAATAATAGCCAGAGCGCTTCTTTTCCTTCTTCTTCTAGTTCAGGAAGGCGTTTAGCAGGTAGGTCAGATTTAATGTATGCCAAAATACCACCACCTGGCGTAAGCCTGTCGAGTCGATATGAATTGTAAGTATTTCCTATGTTATTAATAGAATCCGGAATATCAGACGATAACCAGGATTCTTCTCTGCTACTTCTTTGATGCGTTGTTGAGCTGTCACTGCAGCATCTCGTCTGGGTCGGAACGGCGCCGCTTCCGGGTTTAAGTTGATAGGTTCCTTTGTTTCTGTACGGTCACAGGATAACTCGAGTGGATACAGGTGGTTCACTGCTCGTTCAAGGTAGGTTTTCCCTGCACGACGTTTCACCGCACGAACAACACCATCACGTCCTTTGTAAAGTTCGTCGAAAACACCGAGAGGCCACTTTCCACGACTTCGTTCATCCGATTGTATAATAACCACGTCACCCTTTTTCACCGTGAACGACGTCTTCTTGTGATTTTGGTTATGCCGCTCTCGTAGGCCGCGCAGATATTCCGTTGACCATCTCCGCCACATTGCTTGCTTGCACTTTAACAAATACCTTGCACGCTTTCGTAGATCCTTTTCTTGTATGTGACATGCTTCCAGCTCTGGCGCGAATGTAGAACCAATGTAGAGCTCTTTTTACCAATCCGATTAAGCGCTCGAACTGGCCACCCCACCATGGGGCGCGACTCAGGTTGAACTGCCAGCTAATTCGATTCTTGCTGAGGAATTCGTTTAACTTTTCATCGTTTTGAGCCGTTCGTAACCAGTTTGCTGCTGAAACAAACGTTTTCGCATTGTACGAGTAGACTTTGCTTGGTCTCCCTTTCCTTGCGATGAATTTCTTAAAACTCTCGATGAACTTTTGGGTGTCTAAGCAGGGCATCAACTCAAGATATACCGCTCGCGCGAGGCTACAGGCATAGAGTAGTATGTATGCCTTTCCTTCTTCCTTCCTTTTCTTAATGTACTTAATAGGACCAGCAAAGTCCACGCCTATTGTTTCAAAGGGACGACTCCCTTCAGTTCTATCTGGTGGCAGCATACCAGGTGGTGGTTGTAGCACTGCTTTCGCTTGGAATCTACGACAATCGTAACACTTCTTGATTACTTTGCGTGTAAGTTGTCTGAGTCGTGGGACCCAGTACTGTTCTAGAATTCGGGCCATGGTCATCCCCACTCCCCCATGAAGGGTGCATAGATGGGCATCTTCCACCAGCTTGGTCGCAAAGATGTGCTTGTCGGACAGATAAACTGGATAATGACCTTGAATGCGTCCCCT